TAAGACCAAAGAATTTAAAGAAATATATGAAGCTTTTAAATTATTAGAATTTCCAGAGGGGAAGGGGGGTCTTAAATAAAATCCCTTTTGTGGGGGAGGTATGGATATTTTCTGGAACTACACATTTCTGACACATTGCTAATATATACGTTTGTTCTATCTACAGAAATGGGTGGAAATCAATCTAATTTACCCCCTCGACCGCTGGGTTTTGAATATTTTTGTATAGCCCTCCGTACGACAGATAGGATGCGAGTCGTACTTGGTACAGATCATGAGATTAGCATTATTCGCCAGGCTATCGTAGAATCATGGCCTAAGGGTATACAGGAAGAAGAATTCAAAATGAATGGGGTACATCAATTCAAGCTTAAAGGGAATCCATTTTCCGTGGCTTCTTCATCAACTGATGCGGCAGATTCCAGGAAATTGGGAGGGAATGTCCTGCATAGGCTTTACCGAGATGGATGGAGGCTCCAGGTTGCTGGAGACTTTACGCAGACAACAGATCTTACTACCTGGATCTTCAAGAAAGACCCAAATGCTGTATGTCCATCTGTGCCTTTTCTTATCGTGGGCCTTAGCAGCTGGGACAGTTTGATGGTACTCAATGGACCAATGGAGCTCCATCAGGTCATTAAAGATGCAGTAGAGAAGTCATGGCCAAGTGGAATACAAAAATGGACATATGAGAATGATGTTTTGAAGGTCAAGATGAAAGGCAATCCTTGGCATACGAATGGGGAAGACACAGTGCATGCGAGAGTGATACTGCATACACTTGTGAGTGAGCTACTCATTCGAGGGTGGAAGTTGTATGGAAATTCCAACCTTAGAAGCAGTGCTAACACCCTTTTTTTCGAACGTGACACAAACATCTCACCTGGGATGCAGCCCTCTCCAGTGTACTGCACAATAAGCTTCAACAGCGAGGACCTGCTCCGGTTGATTGGCTTTCCAGAGGGCATGGTATCTGCTGTCCGAAACACCATCCAGACCTTCTGGGCAAGAGGTATCCAAGGAGAATCACGCTATGCTGAGAGTTGGCAGTTCAAGCTACGTGGAACCCCATGGTGGGCATCAGGTACCGAGGCAGTGGACTCAAGATTTCTGGTACTGAAGCTGATAGAAGCTATCCAAGCATACGGCTGGAGTGTGGTCACTGCTATTGATTGCTCAAGGAAAGATTCTGATAAAAGCAGTCTACTGTTCACACAGTCCCAACCAAGACAGTCTCCATTCTTTTGCATAAGCTTGAATGAGTCTGACAAATTGCGGCTGATAAATGCACCAGACAATATCACACAGGTAAGTGGTAATGATTACATTGAAATTTCCATGTCAGTTCTTAATTCCAAAATTAACAGAAAACTATCTGAGAAGACATAATATTTGTGCTTTGAAAGGAATGCTATTTTGAGATAACTTTTGTTTACTAGCACTTTGAACCTAAC